CCCCCCAGCCCTGGTGGCTGGGCCTTTCACTGTCCCCACGGTTTTGCCTTTTCCAGGAGGTCACAGAGTTGGAAGCAGTGTGCAGACTGTCCGACCGGCTTCTCTGACTTGGGGACATGCCTTTAAGGTTCCTGCACGCGTGTCCGTGGCTGGACGGCCGTTTCATTTTAGCGCTGAAGGAGACGCCTCTGTCTGGCCTGGGCGGCGTGGCTCAGGGGTTGAGCATCGACCTATGGACCTGGAGGTTGAGGTTCGATCCCGGTCAGGGCACAGGCCCGGGTTGTGGGCTTGATCCCCAGTGTGGGGCGTGCAGGAGGCAGCCGATCCATGATTCTCTCTCATCATGGATGTTTCTCTCCCTCTCCCTCTCCCGTCCGCTCTGACATCAATAAGAACATTAAACAAACAAGCCATATTCCGCCGTCTGGGTGGACCGCGTTTCCCCATCATCTGCTGAGGGCATCCTCGCTGCCTCGAGTTCTGTCGTTTGTGAATAAAGTTGCTGTAAATACCCACGGGCAGGGTTTTGTGTGGAAACAAGTCTCCGCTCCTCTGGGTAAACGCCAAGGAGTGCGAGCGCGGGATCGACGGCAAGAGGACGTTTCGTTTTGTAAGAAACCGCCAGGCTGTCTGTCTCCCCGGTGTCTGCGCCATCGGCGTCCCCACCGGCGTGAACGAGGCTGCCTGCCGCTCCCCGGCCGGCCTTCCGCGTCGCCAGTGTCCCGGGCGGCACCTCCTAAGGGAACGTGGGGCACCTCGCTGTCTAACTGTGCGTTTCCCGATGCGTCGGAGGCGGAGCGTCTCCCCGGGACCAGGTGGCGAGGGGGCTGGGAACCTGCCCTGCGCCTGCTGACCCCCCAGGGCGAGGCGTCTGCTCAGATCTCCCCCGTTATAAAGCGGGTGTGTGCTCTCCGTGGCTGAGTGAAGAGCTCCCTGTGTGTTTGGAGGCCCGCCCTTCCCCGGGGCTTTGCACAAGGGCTCGCTCCCTCGTGGCTCGTCCCCTCGTCCTCTGACCCATCACCCAGCTGCTGTCACCCGGGCAGCCCGCTCGGCCCGTGCCCTCCACAGTCGTGTCTCTGGCGTTGTGTCCGAAACACCGTCGCCATGCCCGCGGCCACCGGGGTTTCCTCCTGTGTTGTCTTCTAGATCTGACGGCTTGTGCCTTCCATTGGGCCTGCGACCCACGCGGAGTTCCCTCTGGCGAGTGTGAGATCTGTGCGGATCCACCGTCCGCGTGTGCCTGTCCCGCTGCCCCAGCACCGAGGCAGGAAGGCGGACTCCGCTCCATCGGCCCCTGCGCCTTTGTGGGGGTCAGCTGAGTGTGCGCGTGGGTCTATTTCTGGGCACTTGGAGGCGCTGATGCTGGGAGCCGGTCCATCCTTGCTGTTTCAAGGGACCTGGCGTATATGGCATACTGTTCGTAATATGTTTGCTCACCTTCTTGGCACTGTGTGTTTTAACCAAGGTCACCTCGCCGAGAAAGGTTGTTTCCCCAGGTAGGGAGTTTCCCCTGAAGTTAGAGAGGGAATAAAACCCCTTACCTAAGTGCCAGGCGGGTAATTAATCTCTTTAACTACGAACAATCATGCTTACACTACATAATCTTTACTCCCTGGAATGGAGATAAGAAACGCCCTATCCTTTGGAATAGAGATTGATAGGATTGACTCAACTGGTATAAATACAGACGTAACAAGACAACAAGACCCAGAACTTAGAAGACAGAACCTACACAGAACCTAGAGACAGAAGAACTTCGCTGGAGAGAACATGGCAACAGAACTTGGCTGGAGATTGTGGCTAGAGATCCTGGCAAGGCTGCTGATCAACTGAACGCTGTCTCCGTGTCATTCCTTCTTCGCCGACTCCGTCCAACCTTGGGGGACCCCTGGATCTGCTGGGGCTGGACCCCAGCACCCGGAGAGAGCCAGGCCCGGGCGTAGCTGCCCAGTGTCTCAGGCAGGGTCCTGCCTCCCTGTTCAGACTCCAGCTGGTCCCGCTCCTCTGCCTCGGTTTCCCCAGTTGCACAATGAGGTGACTGACCTGCAGGATGCCCCATCTCCTGTTTCAGGAGCCGACTCCCAGGGTCCTGGGTGCACAGGTCAGGAGGGGACAGGTGAGACTCCTGGCTGGGGTCCTGGGGGGTCTGCTGAGTGGGGAGCTGCCCACAGCACCTGATTCCTGTCAGCCCCTTCCCCCATGAAGCCCCAGTCCTGTCACTGCAGCCCCCAGACCCCGCTGCCCGGGGCCAGGCCCAGAGGAGGAGCCTGGAGGCGGCGGGAGCCCAGCCCCTGAGAGCAGGCGGCCCCGGGCAGTTAATGCCAAGAGGCAGAGGCCCCCAGAGGCCGGCTGCAGGGTCCCTGGGGGGGTTCAGGTACTGGGGACCCTTCTCTGGGCCTGAGTCTCTCCATCGGGAACAGGGCCCTGAGGGCGGGACAGCCACACCCGGGCTCTGGCTGGGGACGGGGAGGGCTGCAGACAGCACGCCACCCTGGTCTTCATTCTGATGGGATGTCGGGGGCTCTAACCCTCTGGGCCAGCAGTCCCTCCTTCCCTGTGTGGCGGCCTGACTACTGCACGCGTCCCAGCACAGCCATCCGCTCCCTCACCGCCTGCAGGTGCGCTGTCCGTGGGCACGGAGGCACTGTGGGGGGGAGGGGGGGTGGCTCTCCCAGCTCCCATGTGCTGTGGGCACCGAGTGTGGCGATCGGACCTAGCCCTGACCCCTGGGGTGCACACATGACTCAGCGCCCCTTTTGCAGATTAGAACCTGAGCTGAGGGAGCGACTTGCTCAGAGTCCCACCGGGGAGCCAGCCCCCTGCCCCGAGGCGGTCCGCATGGCCTGTCCTCCAGCCGGGAGCTGGGAGGTGCTGGGCTCCCGGGCCCAGGGGCTGGGGCGGGGGGGAAAAAAACGCGCCCGCGCCTGCCCCGGGGCTGTGGGAACTTCCCGGAGCCCTGAAAGGCCTCGGAGGGCGGGTGCTGAGTCCAGCGGGTGGAGGCGAAAGGGCCACACGCTTTTTGTGGGCGAATTATCCAAACACGGAGCCGGGCCAGCGCGGCGGCTGTGAACCGGCCGCCTTTGTCCAGCGCAGACAAAGGCGGCGCTGACACGGCTTTTCCATGGTCCCGGAGAGAAAGGCCCGGACAAAGCCCGGCCAGGGGCGCGGG